ATGCTCCGTTGGTTTTCAATGTAAAACACTTCGAGTTTAGCTTTTTCGATTGAGGATAGTTATAATTCGAATTAATAATACGTTTGCATCCACAAAGTAATTTCAGGAATAAATAAATTATACCTAGTTACTACGGTTAGAGGCAAAACTGTTTGATTTTTCCGCTGCACAAAACCGCCATCGAAAATTACTGGAGTGTAACATTTTCCCTGAATTATACTCAAACCGGTGTTGAACATCTGCTTTTTCAGAAAATTCTCGGAAATTAATATTAGATTGATTATTATTTGATATATTTTGCAAAATAAGAACAAGTTATGTACATGTACTTACATTTATGTAAATGTACTTTGCACATTAGTATAATGTTTTATTCGAACGCTTTGAAGCATCAAATATACATATCCGAATATGTTGCATACAATAAGATAGCACATCCTCTTTGACACCCACCAGATACCGCTTTGTAATTAGAGATAATGTTTTTGTTAATTTTATCGTATTAATTGTTTGTAATTTTAAGAAGGTAATGTAAAACAATGTAAGTTAGGTACAAAATACACATGGTTACTGATCCCTGACAACCCAAATTTGTTTTTTTTTTCGATTAAATAAATTTTGCTTAATTATAAGCAATCTGATTGGTGTCGCTACACAGTAAAAAATATTGAACACCATAACACACCACAGAACACCATTCAGTGTTCTCAGAGGTCCCAATAGTTTGGTGTAAATTTACACCATTTTTTTAAGCACCAAAACTTGGTGTTAATTGAATCGTACATCTGGTGTTATTTTTATAAACATTGGTGTTAGTGATATCCTTATAGGTGTAAACTTAATAAAATTTATGATTAAATTGTCACTACATCTGGTGATAAATCAATCGGTACTCGGATGTAAATAAAAAGAATATTATATTATTGCAAAACCTTTATTAACAACAAAAAATAATAAACTGAATAAACATTCTCACTTAAAAAAAACATTAAATGTCTATAATATTCTAATGCACATAGTTCGTAAATATAACTTTTGGGACAAGATACCTAGCATCACTTCCTGTTTTTTGACTAATATGATAAGTTTCTTTATGAGGTATAAAATTCAAATTTTTCAACACAATTTCATCTATTGGAGTTATAACATATCCATAAGAATATGTGTCAAGAGTTTGATAAAGGAGTGCAATAAAATATGGTACATTATCAACAATTAAAATATCAATAATTTCTGCAAACTGAGGTGTATTATTGTAGACCAAACAACATATTAAAAATTTTGGTTTATAACGAATTCCTCGAAAGTGTAACCATTTTGTTAAAATAATAGATGCATCAATTTCACTCATTTCAAAATAACTTAGTAAAATATGTTTGTATTTGTATGTTGTTATATTAAGTAGTACTGTAGGGCCAAAAAGTGTTGTTTCTTGCAAATGTCCTTCTTCCCACTTAGAAAAAATAAACTGTTGATGTCTGCAGCTTAACATCTTACAAATATTTTTGAAATTTTTTAACTTAGCAATCGTATTTTTGAAAAAATTATGTTTACCCTCAAAGCGCATATTCCACATATGCACTAATGGACCCATTATTTTAATGATTCTGGGATAGTGTACCATAAAATGATGTTTTGGTAACAACTTCGCGTTAAATTCTTCTTTTAATTTCTGGTGGTGATAGGATATAAGTATTTCTAAGGTATTAATTTCTTCTCGAGGAATTACTGGAGAAAATACGATCTGCATAATCTTTAATAACGAAAAAATAACTTCCCATTTTGACATTAACTCATCAGTCAATAAATCGCCAAATATAAGAGGTAAAAATCTTATTAAACACCACGTTTGACTGGCTTTCTGATTAATTAAATGACCAGGTTTATTCAATGTTATAGGGCTCGGAAAATTTGATCGGTCGGTATAACCATAATCATAAGCCAATATTCTGTTGTTAATGGTCTCTAATGTTAATATTTTTTTGTCTACAAAATACTTCAATAATAATTTTATTTCAAACTGAGCAACGCCTTCCAAAATGTCATGCATTATATCAACTGTTGGGCAGTCAAACATATTAAAATAATGCATATTATTTAAAACACTTTTCTCTTTGATTCCAAAATGAGATAGCACGTTTGGATCCTTATTATTTTTTACTTCGTCACAATGTAAGTTATAAGCGTCTTTAGTGCGAATAGTGAGATTTTCTTCAGAATAGTATATTAAAGAACGAGTTTCATAAGGCAAACATTGAGGCACGAATCCAAGTTTATAGAACGAGCGGCGAAGCCGCGAGTTATATAAAGGATGAGTGTCTCAATGGCCTTATGAACGAGTTATTTATACTATTTTTTCTACCGCACACGTTTTTTCCCCAAATTTAATTAAAATATGCATTTTTTTTAATCTGGGGACTTTTGTCGTGGTTGGTGATGGGTTGGTCTGACACTAACCACGAAATATTTGAGGTTCGAATTTTCACAACAACAATTGTAATTCGAATCAATTCGAGTTTTCGTAATTTAAAATTGGTTAAAATGTCTAGCGAAGAAGTTACACGTCCGGAAACGTGGGAAATTTAAGTTTAGATTTGCCACTGACATTCACCTGACATTTCTCGTCATTGCTACCAATCTTACCGATCTAAATTACACCAGATCTATTAAAGCACGCCTTTCCGCTATTAACGAACTGTTGTGACGTCATTTGCGTGCGTTAATAGCTCTATTAGAAAACCAAAAAACGTGGGCGGTAGAAAAACTACCGTTTGAATGTCATCTTTTGGAGTTAGGCAAAATCGACAAAAATACTTTGCAGAAAATGACTCTACCATCCCTAGAAGCATGTTCCCGCCCAAGTTGTCATGACAAATAGATGTCAGTGTTCCTTTTATGGGATTATCAAAATTATGAACTATTATTCCAACGGTTTCTAGGATATTTATTTCATCAACGACATATTGTAAAATTTTATTGAAGCCAAATTTTTTTATATCACCGGAGTGAAACAAACCTACTAAAAAAATATTTTCTAACTTTCCGTTAAAAATGGAAGGCAAATTTTGAATAATGAGATAAAGAGCTCCTAGCTTGTAAGCACCGGTTTTACTTCCTAGTGGATTAACTGTTTCAAACTCGTCAAAATAAAGCTGGAGTAAAAAATGAAAATCAGTATTTTTAAAAAAATCACACGACCGATAATATTCGCCATCAACAAAATGTCTTAACACATTCGGCTCACTGAAAGTACGTTTGGTTAGATATGATAAAAATAATTTATTTGTACACAGATACTTTAAAGTTTCTACTATAGATATGTAACAAAACGTGACTGGCTTGAACTGTTCTCTATAAATATTCAGTTTCTTGTCATAAACCTTGTCTACTCGACTTCCTATTGTTACTTCTTTAGGGTGAACTGCTGAATTTGCTAGTTTTTGAATTTTATAAGTGGTATTGATTTTGTCATATTCTTTTGAGATCATATTCGTGAGTACTACAACTGGAGTGGTTGTAGAATTTTCACGGAAATATTCCATGACAGTATCTAAAGTTTCCCCAGTAATATCTAATACTGTTTGTAACGTAGACATGGGCAGTTGTAATGAAAGCAGTTTTTGGCAAAAAGTTGTAAATGTTAAATTAATATTAGTTTCGCCAATTTCATCAACAGAATTACATTCATCTAGAAGAGCAGCATCATTTGCAATTAACTTATTTACATTGCTTAAAACTGATTTTGACTGTGCTTGAGTTGACTGTTTACATTTGACTACATGACGTCTGAAGCCACTCAGTGTGCAGAAATATTGGTAACATGTAGAATGACAACATTTTATTTGTAAGTTAGGGTTATCGTAAAGTGTATGTGCAATTTTTAAATGTTTCATAAATTGACTAATGTCAAAAAACTTTTTTTTACAATACGTACAGTTCAAATACATTGTTCAACAAGTTGTTACACAGATAAACGTGCCCTTAATTCATGCATTTTTGGAGTAAATGTCACCGAATCTACTTCTACCTTATAAAAGTAAACCTGAATAAATTTAAAAAAAGTTTCTAAATTTACATCATACTTTAAATTTAATACAAAGTGAACTTTAAATAAATAATCGAATGCTAATACAAAATTTGAAAATTTTTCAGGTAAAACATTCCCATCAACAATCACTACATACTCATCAACAGCTGCTTTGTTGTATCCTCTTGCCAGAATGAATGGCTGAGTATTTTTTGTACTTTTGATTATTTCTTGCAGCGACGTGCTATTCTAAAAAATTACACAAACATTGGTTTATAAAAAAACAATAAGTAAAATGCATACTTGCTGAAACACAATCAGTTTGGAGAATGCTTGTTGTATGGACACTTTCGACGCTTTTTGTTTTCCTTTTGGAGATGGAGGGAGCATCTTAATTAAAGAAAAAAATGTTTTCGTTGTGTCATTGTATTCAATGTTCGTTAGTTCTGAACTAGACACGGCTAAACAAATTTTCAAAATTTTTTCTTTTTGCTTTTTGAATTGAACCTCAAAATCGTCTGCGCAATGCGGAAACATAGAATTAAAATCTTGCTGAATCTACAAAATAAAAACACTGAATGGAATATATAATGAAATAATATTTGTCTAACCAATCCAGATGTATCTATAAATCTTGGGAAAAGTTCTAAAACATTGTCTTTTTTAAAGTTGCGAAAATGAAATGTATCTAACATTTTTAGTTTGATAGTTTGTTCCTGTGTTTTTGGATCCGCTTCTTTTAAAAATATTACATTTTCGTCTACTTCAAGGGTCAATTCTTCACTAGGGCCTGGTTCGGTAAGTTTCGGTTTTTTTGGTGGAGGCAGAGTTTTTTCAGTGATCTTATTCGTTTTGTTAATTCTATTTAAAGTTCGTAGTCTGTTGGCCAAATAACCTCCATTTGTTTGTGCGTTGAAAAACATTTCCTTTAAAAATTTAGTCAATACATATTCGGCACCAAGTTTCCTGAAACTTACATAACCGCCAGTAGTACGGGATTTTTTAAGTTAGGAAATATGGTAACAATTTCTTCAGCATATTTCATCTTTTCCAGTTTTGGAACATTGTGTTGATATATGTTAAAAAGAATGTTTGCCACAATATTCACCAAGTGAATCCTAGTTCGATCCGTAAGAAATTGATTTTTTTCGTATTCGTCTAATATGTACTGACCTCCAGATTGACGTATTTGAGACCGTAAATCCTAAATTAAATTTCAGAAATTAGATAATTAAATTTGTTCAACTTACAAAAATTTCATTCAAGTATAAACCTTCATCTAACGACGAAGTTGTAGTTAACGTGGAAACAGATGAACAACTTGGTGTTGCTTCATCGCAAGGCGAATCAAGATTAGTGTAGCCTAAACGTGATTTAATTTTTGTTATGTTAAATAGGTATATGAAATGGCACACAATAAAATTTGATCATAAATTAAATTATTACCGCTTGAGAAAATGCCACAATCCCTTGTTTCTTTCGTCACTGCTACAAATGTGATGGATTCATTGGTTGTGATAAATAATTGAAAGACATCTTCCTCGATTTCTGCGCCATCTGTATCCATTAAAATAATATTTCCATCGATACTAAATTTCTTTTGTACTACAAAAATCATACTTAGTGTTGAAGATACATCTAAATTGTTCATTACAAAAAAGTAGCATCATCACTAATTAGTAATTAATAATGAGCGGACAAAAATACCAATTCACACTGTCTTATTCGTTTTCCACTACAGTGGATCAAGTCGCACGTAGCAGTCAATAAATTGTGCGGGCTGTAAGTATCCGCTCTTTACTAATTATACTTATGATTTATTTTTCTTTTGATGCAAAAGCCTACACATTAGATATACCGCTGAAATTTCGAATAATAACGATCTACAAACTATTGGACCGATGTTTTTATGTGTTTAGCATTTACTAAACACACTTGCGAATGTATTCCTAATGGGCCCTTGGTTGCATCATCCATAGACACCAGACGTTTATACTTACTGTCTGCACAAAAGTCAGGAAATGAGACTGCTTCATTCAGAATCATCCATTTCGTAATATTGTTGTATCTAACTTTAACACCTTTCATTATTGTCACAATAACACAAACAAGTAATAGCCAAAACCACCAAAACCATAATATAATATCCACTTGTTGTGTTGGTGCCTTCTCGTTTTGCGAATTGCGATGTGAGAGAAAGAATTGCGCAGACGCGACAGGCTCATGGCGCGCCGTGTAACACCGCCGGTGTAGTTCAGCGCGACTTCATCCGAACTGTGAGCGGGGTATCTATTTTAAGTGTAAAAGTGATCACTGGTTCGATTTCAGTACGTCAGTTTCGGTGTAAACGAGGCATATTAGTTGAAAAGTGCACCATTTAGTGTTAAATCTACAAAAATGGTGGTTATATTCACACCGAATTCGTTGGTGTAATTTGAAAAACACATTTATTAAAATTACACCAGCAATATTTTTTACTGTGTATGTGGTTTACTCAATTTTCCACGACACGTAAAGTCAACTTAAATTGGATCCTAAGCCGATAAATTTAGTCAATGATAATAATAATTAACTGCGTTTCCAATCAATTAAGATAATTAAGTACGATAATAAAATAGAGAGGCTGAATATACTTGTTTAAAATTTTATAAACAATTCAAATTTAATTAATTCTTCACTAGGACAATTCCATATCTCTCTTGTGATTACACAAAAGTTGTACATTTGCTTAATTTCATCCAAAAAAGACGAAATTCAAAATGCATCACACAGAACAAATTTTAATTATCGTGGCAAGTTCCGTGTAGACTCGGTCCAGGCTATTTAATAGGTAATTAATTTTACGGAGCAAACTGATCCCAATCTTTTAATTCAGGCATTATATCCGACCAACACCATTCCGTATCGAAATAGTTTACAATCTTTAATTATCTATCTTGTTTTATTTCTACTAATACACCCTCAATGCAATTAATGTGTGTTTATATGACGGCAAGCAATTTTGAGCTAATGGTCGTGTTACCTTGGTCCTCTGATCATAATATTTTAAAACGACGCTAGGTTGCAAACAAATTAGTCACAGGCGTGCAATCAACGCCTTCTTGATGAAATGATCCTATCGCGGTCATTTAGCTGATGAGAAACGAAATTACCCGAAACGTCTAACGCTAACGTTAGCCAGGAACAGATTAGGGTTATCATATTCGTCCACATGTTCATAAATGTATGATCATGCTTTACGCTATGCCGAACAACGTTTTTTCCATCTATGTATGATGAACGGATTAATCTTGTAGAATGTTGATGAATTGACATAATAAAAAAACAGAAGGATTTTCTTACTAGATGCGATAATAACGCCGTAGTAATACTCAGACGCCTAAAAAAAGCACACATTAAGTGATCTGAAAATTGCATCGTTAAAACGAGAAAATCGCTAAATGCGTAGGTGCGCTTACGGTAAGTTAACTGTATGTGCCGGCTACAGTATTATAGAATGCAGCAGTATAGGTGTATAATGACCGTTAATTAAAGTCAATTCATGCAGAACAAAATCTGCAATATTTTGTACAAGTTTAGTATCTCATTAGCGTTTCGTACAGGCCGCAAATAATCTTCATTAACTTCGTGTCACTGCAAGTCAAAATGTTAACGATAGAAACAATCGACTGCAACCACACCAAAGTTTCAGCTGAACGGTTAGTTATTATCCTTAATTACAATTTCATTTAATAACGTGACCCGTTACTCGCAACTTCAGGCACTGGAAAGTTTTATTACTTGCTCATATCTAACCCTATTTACCGCATCCTGACGTCTTATAATTAGGTATCAATCATCGCATAGAGATTATTACTTCTCGTTTCATATGAAATTGTAACTACTATTATTCTTACACGTAGAAAGCATTTAATTGGTTGAAAACCCAGTTTTTCCTAAGGCGGAAATGCTCGTGTCCATAAATTATGCTAAGTTCGCACATTAAGAGGAAATTATTATTTTATTTGATGTTTTATAAATGTATATATGTATAATATATACAAAGAGTGCAAAATTTAGCTACTTTCTAATCTTCTTTCTGCAATCTCTGCGAAAGGAACGTTATGTCATATTACATAGATAGTTGTGACTCCAGCGATCTACTGTCACATCTATGTTTATCTATTCGTTCTTCTTATATTCTTACAAATGGGCTTTAAGTATCATCAATTAGAGTAGCATAAACGATCTCACGAAGAGCTTGTTTTGAATGAAGCATTTTTCCCATTACATTTTTTGGGTAAATTTTCAGTTATATACCCATCTTCTTCAGCTGTGATATTCGATGCTATAAATTCATTAATTTTACTTGTTGTAAGCACTACCAGTAAAAATTGGGAACTAATTGAACTTCATTTGTATGTTTCATACACTTCTGACACAGTCAACAGCATTTAAGAAACAAGTTAATATTTTGTAAAGCATTTTTTTTTAAATAAATTTTCGTTTTTACGCTCTAACTGAGCACGATATTTATTTGTAAATTGTAGCGCTATATTCAAAACATGTTTGTGTTTTTTTATGAATACGAATAGTAAACTTATTTATACACCGTAGTTATATTTACGATCGTTTTGTCCTTAAAGTAAGTCAGACAATTAATTACGTTGAAGACTTATTTTTTAACACGTTACACACACAATCGTACGATAAACTAATTCTACCTTCAAATTTTAAAATTACACCATAGAGTTGCCATACAATTTTTTACTTTACTTTCAACATACACGGGATGTTGAAAGAAAAGCTTAAATAAGAGTTTTATTAGTATTTTTGCGATCTCTAAAGGCACAGTTAAAAATTAATATATTCTAATTATCACTGTATTCAATGTTGCTTAAAATCAGTGAATTACTTAAATGTCATTTGATTCTTTGTGGTAAGCCAATTTTGAGTTAGCATAATGCATTAAATTTAAAATAGATGTTCTGTTGTGTTTTCAAAAATGTTCTCAAACATTTCCGGTTTTATATTAACTCACTACACAGAGTAATGAGTTAATGAGTGGTCACAGTTATTATTTTGTCATGCAAAAATATTGCCACAAATTTCATACTATATGGAAAATACCTTTATCTTGTCAAAAGTACCCAACAGTTGGTTCACCATCGTGCAATTGCGGTATAAATAAATACGTCTAAAACTGGTTCCCTATAATATACATATAGGTACAGCGTTAGGGGTCTCGTGAAAGAAAACTGGACCAATTACTGCCCATTCACAATGGACATAAGACATAAGAACGAGCGCATAACATAATTTACGTTTTTGGTTTGTGTCTGGCTTATGCTTATCTACGTTCACAGTGGACAAAGTGAACTCTGTAAGAATTGTTAAACTGCGCAAACGCAGAACGGAATAACTCCCGGCTAAACATAGAAATGGCTAACCTCAAACTGAGTCAATCAAAATATCTAACCTACAATTTCATACGATATTCGAACTTGACAACTTGCAGTACAGAACAGACTCGCAGTGTGAAGCTTTGATTATAATTTATATAATATAATCAAAGGTGTGAAGTGCCAAGTGCCAACTGTCAAAGGGAATTCAATAGCAGCATTCAAAAGTCCCTAGATTTTAACATAATTTTGACATAATTCGTGCACAAAGTTGAACTTATTTCAACTTTGTGTACGCACACAAGGATTACATAAAACGTTCATAAGCATAAGAATTACGTTCGTCCACTGTGAACGGGGGTACACGTTTTCCATCGTTTCAACTTTATGTATTTATGTAAGCTTTATGTACTTGTTATGCCTTATGTCCATTGTGAATGGGCAGTTAAACGTCTACGAAAACAGTAACCCATACTTTCACCACAATTGGACGCAAAAGAGGTTTTCCCAAAGTGACAGAGATTTTCAACATTCCATATTTAAAAGCTTTGTCAATTCAAATATCGAGACATGTAGAACTAAGCTTTGCCACTAAAGAATATCCAATCTAGTAAATCATCATTGTTTAAATTGTTCTCAAACCAGTTGCAGTATTACATATGAGTCTCATAATCAAGTCAAAGAAGTTCTTGGACTGTAGTAGTTTTGTAGAGATACAACAAATTTTCTTCCAATAATTTTATGAAAATTATTAACTGGAAGACATAATCTCTGCATAAATGTTGGATTTTCCATTGTGTTCTTACAGGGAAGAACTGGATATTTCTGTATTTCGTTTTCAAAAATTCCAGTGTGATAATACGCCATCGTAATAAAGGTGTCTTACTCCAGAGTGAAACCCACTGTCTGAAATTAGTTGATCCTAAGCTTGTAGTTATAGATTTACTGTTAATATCCTATTGTCATTTTGAAACAAACCTTTTTATTTCACGAATCCAACATATAGTTTATTTGTGTTGTACAAATTATCCAAGACATTTAAATATGTTTGGCAATACATTATACAATTTAACATAAAAGTATGAAGTATGAACATTTTACATTTGGTCAACTTCAACAAGCTGTAACTAAAGTCATGAACAATTCATCACTTTGGCTTTACGATTATGATATGTTCTTAATTTCCGATGGGCTTGAGTACTATTTACCAAATATACAAGACAGCGCTGTACGTACAGACATCGTAAAGTAAGAACGTTTGGTTATGAAAAATGGCCTACAATCTTCACGATATCAAATACCTGCAACAATCCTCATTGCTCTCCTTTAGAGTTTAAACAATTTATTTAGTGATGGAGTATACTATCCTAACATATAATAATTCATAAAATGTACAACTGAAGAAGACGAAAGTAGCGAGGGGTAAATTCTATCAAATATACCCAGGAAGGTGGGTTTTAGACATGTGCACCAAAAAAACAGATCCTTTCAAATAAGGATTAGTGTATATACAATCCCCAAAGTGGTGGTAAAATTTCATCACAGTCCAAAATCCTGATGACCTAGAAATTATGAATGACAATTAAACCACATCGAGAAGAAAAAACTTAATAAAAAAAGAGATGACTGCTAAAGAATTTAGTGAGGAGGAGTGACGCCAGTGAAACGGATGTAATCTAGCCTCCGGTGTGGCATTAGTCCGGGAAACAGTTGCTTCCACCAACTGCCTTCGTTGAATTAATAAGTGCACAATGTTTGCGACAAAAAAATACACATTAACATAAGATTTAAAAAAAAACACAGATACAGGCCCAGCAAGGTAGAATATACCGATGTTTAAAACTGTTGAAACAGTAATGACATAGAGTGAAATCTACAACTGATTACTAAATGATGCTTAAGAACTAATGTTTATGATAGCTAAAAGTAGTAAACCGTAACACAGAATATACAGGAGGAAGGAGGAAAACAAGTTTAGTTCACAATAAACCGAAT